AGTGCATACATCTTGATAATGACATTATCGACATATTGTAGACATCATTAATTAGCACTCAATTTAACTACTGATGAACATGTATTCCAGCTAGTTAGTTCCTGTTTTGACAGCTTAAAGTAGCTACCATGACGGCATCTTCCCTTAGGCTTCTAAACAGGTGCGCCATCTATCAGTACGGTGTGCTAAAGAAAGATAACTCGTGTCACATTCACTCCATGTTATAATAATGATACGATAAGAGAAATACTTGAGGCGAGATTTTACATTAATCAAACTTTCGCAAAATTTATTGTAAGAGTATATTGGGGCTTTTCAGTATTGACACAATTTTCTGTCTTGAGAAACATTTACCTGATTGCACACTACGTGGCATTGTTATTCTTTACTAGCACCAGATGGAGAGGAACGTTTCATTTCTTTGATTCAAATTCTGATTGATCATAACAGGAAGGAGGGTAAGATTTTAAACAAAACTATAACAAAAAAATTAATATCGATGGGGTACTTCGGATAGCTGGCATCGCCTCGATGTATTCATTCGGAATAAGAGATCCCAGCACTCATGGAACCCGATTCAATCCCGAACGAGATAAAACTCACCGATTGAGCGCTTAGAGTCCCCTTTCATTTTGCACATCTTTGGAAGCCTGGATGTCGCAATTTGTTTTAATCAAATTTCGAAAACCTGTGAACAAATCTATATAAACGCGCTCTTTTGTTTTATGGTGCAAGGGAAGTAACTCTTACTTCATATTACAGACCAATTCATTTTTTGTTAGCAATAACGGCGATCGTCTACAGTTCGAATCGAAAATTTCAGATTACTACAATTGTAGGCCACTCGTTTCCCCGTAGATCAAATTTAATATTCATTAGCCCACAAAAGTGTGTAAAAACTAAATACTATTTACCAGATGCATTATATGATACACTCGTTGACAATTCACAGCCTTCATACCACTGGTATAAGGGAGGTAACTCAATTTATCAGTTTCTGTTACTACAGACCCAATTTAACTAACCATAGAAACTATAAATATCACATTATGGTCTGTTTTCTCGTCCATTATCTCACCATAGAAAAAAAACTAATTTCCTTTCAAATTAAAAACATGATTTTATCATACTTCGGTCAATCTGTTCGTTTATCCATATAAATAAACCCAGGTTCGCTACAGCTAATGCAGCTAAAAAAAATTAACGGAGGGTTGGGTGGAGTGAAGGTATGGTAAGGGAAGAAGAATTTACTAGTCTAAATCGCACTGCGTGGGGTTTTTCCTACCAATATACCATTTACTATACATGTGTCCTATCATACAATAACACACAAAATATTCGTCCACGTGTGGTTGTATAAATATACATCATTAATAATAGGCTACATAATCATTCACCGGTGAATGTGATGCCGCATAATTTTTAGTAATGAGACAAGTTCGCCATATTCGTTTCACTGTTTGGCCATTCATTCCTGAGTCTTAGAATTGGAATTTTTGTAGCTAAACAAATTTTATGCCCTTTACCTTAAATTCTAACTGAGCCGTCAACTTCAAAGAATGTCATGTTGTTCACTTTACATGGTGCATGAATACCATGACCTATTTTACATGGTTATTAACCTGTGCTATCGTTCATGTCGTTTATGAACCTGTGTTATGTACCTGAGAACAGAACTTTTGTGTTATAAAAGACAAACTTAATTTCTATACGAAGGATATAAAATGCGTCTTCGTTCTTCAGTAGGCTTGCCTGGAGTCCAAACTATACACAACAGAATCTCCCTATTATCCATTAAATCCATACAACTAAGTAATAATCCATTAAACTATTCAAAAGTTATTCTGAAATATTATGCTTAGAAGCGTGTTTCAATAATTTAGATATATCGTTTTATGTGGAGATTTTAACTGAAATTTAATGTCCATTCTAAGAGGTAGTATCCTTTTAATTAATAAATGATAAAATAGTAAATAATCATAATTATATTCAACTTTATACGGTGTACTATATTGAATATACTGTGTGAAATGGAGCAAGCGTGAGTGTGAATATAATATGGTCACGTTCACATCTATAGTCGTCTAGTCAGGTCTTCCGTATTTCGTTTTAAGATGTGTGTTTAGATGGGAACGTCTTCTCCTTGTGTTTGGTATGATAGTTGAGCAAAATTACCTGCAATTGCTATGCACTATTTAAAAAGAACTCTTTTTGTTTAGGTCGGAAATTTGGTTAAGTATGGAGAGAGGTTTGCTTTAAATCACGATCGTAAAATCGTGACGGTGATGTTTCTGAAAAATCAGTGTAAAGTCCGATATTTGGAGTAACTACTACACACTGAGAGAGGTGTGCTTCAAATCGTGATCGAAGAAGCGAATTTAAGAATCCGAATCGTGATAGTGAGATAGCGTGTGATGGTGGCGGTAAAGTCATTAAAAGAATACGATTCAAGTTGACGTAGTTAGTTGTTGTATAAATCTTGATCGGAGAAAGGAACCTTAGACTTGAAATCATGACAGCGTGACGAATTAAAAGGAGACGATTAAAAATACGAAGTTTTTGGATTTGGAGTTGCGATTCAAATCGTTAGTAAAGAAAGGAACTTGAGTTTTGAAATCGTGATATATACGATGATGTCGTCATTTTTTAGATGATCGATTTCAATCAGAATGGCAAACTAGCATGGAAATCGTGATAACATGATATACCAGCTTAGAGTGATATCATAGAAAATAGGTTTGGGCCAGAATCTAAAGCTTTTTAAATTGGGATCATGTTAGTGAACGTAATAATTGAAATCGTGATAGTCATTTAGAACGGGTCTACATTAAGACTTGAACATCCAGCAAAATGGCCAATGATACAAAAATTATGTTAAATGTAGACACTAGGAAAGAAATTTATGATTGTCAGATTAAATTACTTTTGCTTGTGTTACTTCTGTCATCTATTGTTTTTACTATTGTTGTTTTATTATTATTATACGAATATAATCTTAGGTTATTTTGAATTTGTAGTTTTGTACTGCTTCATATGAGTGGCTGCCATAATATATTTATCAATATTAGTTATAGGCATTTGTTTTAAATTACATTTAAATGAATACTTAGGTACAGATATTTAATAAAGTTAACTTACCGATGAGATATCATTGCGTTGGTTATATAACATGATCATTAGTATATTTTTATTCACAACAATTTTCACTGTTAAAATAGTCTTCAACACATCAATTGTGAGCGATATATATCTTTATAGACATTCAAATCAAACTTGAAACAAGATGAACTTAACAAGCACGTGCATTCCATGAACCCCTGAAAAATGCTTACGGCCCATAAAGGGACATAACTCTATTGGGTTCTGCATCACTTTTATATGTAACTTTAGAAGACGGTGATTTTTTCCCTGCAAACTTTGATTTAGATCTTTTGTTAAGTATCTAGTTTTGCGATTTACTTGTAATACAACTACACAAAAGTACACGTGTGTGCGCATACGAAACTGCGTTATAGCTACAGACACACTGAGCAAATTTTCAAGGCGGATGGTTCTGGCGAATCGATCGCCAACGAGCTTTGCCTAGTGTGTCCAGTGCTACGACATTCGCCCGAGCATCGGCCGAAAACATTCACCAAGCGTGTTTGATAATATTCGACTGAAAATTCATCACCATAGACTCGCAAACTTTCTTAACCCAATACAGACGCGTCACATGACCAATTAAATGGCATTCCTACTATAGGCATTAAATAGACATTTATACATTTTTATGAAAGGTAAGATGGCGGATTCTGCACAACAAATCGTGACCCTTTGGGGCTGAAGATGAAGTTATTTCACGAGCCCCTGCCTCACCAAGATACAAACGTTAAAAAGAAATGTACCCAAGTATGTATTTAAAAGGCTTACAATTTATGATGGCGCCGTACATTAGGCAATATTGAGACTACAGACTGGAAATCATTAAATCATTTATAAAACTGGCGTTAAATTGACTCATATGGGCATAAGAGGCTTTCTAAAAATTGTATGTGCATCGAGGACACTGATAGCATCAATTTGCACCATTCCAATTTTCAATCAGACGTTTGTGGTTCTTGCAATTCTTCTAAAACTAACGCGTTTTATGACGTCACTAGGGGGGAACTGCATATTTTAATAGTAGCTTCCAGTAGCTTCCCTCTAGTGACGTCGGAATGAAAATTGGAATGGTGCAAATTGATACTATCAGTGTTCCGATACACATAAAAGGTTTAGAAAACCTCTTTACAATCCCTTTAAAAATAATATACCCTGCGAGAGGTGTATACGACTCATCATGTTTAGCCAATTGAAAGTAATATTGGGTTGTTCAGTCGTAAAGAAAAGAATGCATTAGTTTCATAAACATACATTTTATTCATTTCATTTAAATATAAAAATAATACATTATAATACATAAAATACAATAATAATATAATACATATATATACAATAATAATAGTACATTTAGAATAAACACGATTTCCATAATATCATCGTCGCTGTTAAGAATTTGGAATTGAAAATTATCATGCAAGCTAATTTCGAAATGAAAAAAAGTTGCGTGATAACACTGTCTTGCTAGATTTTATTCCTAAAACTTATGACATGACTTAGATGCCACCTATTGTATCCCTTAGTACAGCGAGCATATGGAATATGTGAACACTGTGGTGGCTCAACCAACCACTCTGGTGACTCAACCACTATGGTGGCTCCTTTCTGTCAAACTTGACAGTGCGGGTCCATGGACTGAAATGTTGGGGCCCCTACCCCGGGAATTCTTTTTAAAAATGCTCTCCTGCATTTTTGTTCTGAGGTAGGTGCCCGTGGATTTGGTTAAACCGGGCAGTGGCGGGGTCAGACTTGCGTCGGCTTTAAAGTACATGTAAGTTCACATTGTTACATACGATGGTCATTTAAGGAAATTGAATCAAAGTGAACATTGCATTTCACTATAATTGGACATCAAACTGTCAATCTACGTGTAGTTCTTCCTCTTCTTGTGGTTTTGGTGGTCGATGTCGTGCGCTCTTCTGATGTGCTCTTAGTCCTGCCAGCTGTGAATAACTGCTTCTACATATGTTACATTTATATGGCTTTTCACCTGTGAATTGAAGTTGAAAAAAATATGTAATATATATTAAAAACCTATTAAGTTATTCACAGTTTCAAAAACTGTGTTGTGTTTCACATTTACAAGGGCATTTTCCAAATACAGTATCATTTGAAGCCTCTCATTATGCTCAAATATCTTTCCTTTCTATTCCCATTTATATTCAGCGGGGCTCATGTTTGGCATTAGACGAGGGAAAAGGGTGTTCCATCTTTTACTACTATCAGATAGTTTTTAATTACAGACGAACAAGATGTCGAAACTTCATTATGAAAGTGATAAACAAGAATCTAGGCTATAACCAGTAGCGGAGCCAGGTTAACGTACGAGGGAGGGCGAAATATCTAAGGTTGCCCGAATTTCTAACCTAGTTAAGAGAGTCATGCCCCAAAAACTTACATTAAGGCTGCCCCCTCTTTGGCTTCGGTACCGGCTATAACAGGATACTTTTTATACGATGAAATTTTGTAGTTTTTAACCTTACCTGTGTGTAACCTAATATGATTCCTCAACGTGGATGATTGGCTGAATCGTCTATCACAGAATTTACAGACAAAGGGTTTCTCTAGGGTGTGTATTCTCATGTGTGAACGTAGGTTACTTTTAGAATTAAAACCTCTTCTACATAAAACACATTGTAATTTACACACAAATTTGAATGGCGTCGTATCTGTACATAGATTTCTTGAAGATTCTGAAATAAAAATTATAAACGAAATAATAAATACTTGTCGGCTCGCATTCCTTTCGGGGGTCCAAAGAGCAATATAGGCCAATGACTCTGGTGGTGAAAAAGTCCGCTATTGAGGTCGCTCTCCAACTTAATAGCTTCTAGCTCTTGCTTAATGAGTCCAAGTGCATGTCATTTTTCTTAGAATGTCCTAGAGTCCTTAGACATATGAGGTTTGAAAATTTCAATTTTTTAATAAAAAAAATTTCAATTTTGTCATTTTCATCAACCTAAAGACATCGTAAGACTAATTAATAGTTTGGAGTAATTGAATATAAAAAGTAATTATATACCTTCAGCTAAATAAGTTGGACTACTCTCAATAGTAAGATCTGGAGTAGGTAACCCAAGATATAGTTTAGTTGAGCTACCATACCATACCAGTAATTCTTTTTGGGGTGCTATGTCCTGAAAACATCCAAATTAGATTATTTAATTACTGCTGTTTTAATAGTCTAATTCAAAGTAGACCCAAATTTCGTTTTTTTGTTAGTTTTTTTTTTTATTTTTAGTATAGCGACTTCAGAGTAGGATCTAACGACCCGACTCTTGAACATTCGTCAAAATAACGAAACGAAAGTCGGAGCTAATTAGTGCTAAGACTACTGTTTTAACAACATATTTGGAGATGGTGGAGTTCTCCATACAAAAAGACAGTAATTCAGATGGGGGAATGGGGATGCCTAGAATGACGACATGGTGCAAAATCCTCATATGGCAACTCCGAAAGTGTGTTTTGCGTTTTGATTACAGTTGGAGGACAAATAATATAGTCGTAGATGCACATCAATGAGCTGAGAGCCCTAATGAAACAACGAAACTAACTGAATCTAGCTTGTCGTGTGTTTGAATTAGTCCTATCTCTGCAGTTAGTCATACTATCATGGTTTTACTCTGTACCCATAACCTTCATCATTTATTCTAATTTAGTATGAACCAAGATATGTCTCAGTATTGACGTTTGCATTGCATAGCTACCATAAGCCTTGGCATAAAGTTGCATGTCCGTGGTTTTGACATGTTTCTTTAGCAACGATATGCATAAATATTATCAATAGATAGATAATATCGTACCGTTGCTAACGTGTGGTTTTGGTGTTTGGTGTAAAACTCCCATGATTTTAAACGGAAACTGTATTTTTGGAGTAAATTAGATCCACAATTTCGTGACATTGTGTTTTTTTTTGTAAAAAGGTCTTATTTTAATAAAATTATTACGATCAGTATAGTTGAAAATAAAAGAAATGTACCTTAATAGCTCTGTAGAATATATTGTGTCCGATTTGTACGAGTTCTAAATTCTGTTCTTGGGGATTCCGTGCACAATTTACATAAGACAACCAACTAGCTCTAGGAAAACTTGTACCACCATCAATAAAATATAATATCACCCCTTTATCATCGAATATCTACAAAATATACCACAATTAATATTACACGTAATAAGACTACCAATAAATAACACAGAATACATCCTAAAATAATGTACTTTCCCGAACCTTGATAGCGCACGCCATGAAGTGTCAATGATGGAAATTTTGCAAGGACAGTGGCAGTAGTCTAAATAGCAATTTTACTACCATTAAAGGGACAGATGTGCCATTTTGGGGGGTTGATTTTAGTCTTGAATATATGTAAATAGTCTTCAGAGGTACTCGAAATGTACGAAAATCACATAATTCCTTTAAAACTACTTTAGGAATTTTACTCACTATTTCTATATATCTTTTCTATATATCACAGAGTATCTTAAATTTACGAATCGTCATTTTAACATTAAAACGCAGATATTTCTGGACATACAGGCTCAAATTCGATAGTGAGCTGTGAACACTATTACTTATTAGCTCAGCTAAAAAATTCCAGTTTCTGAGACTAAAGTATGATTGGTCAAAAAATGGCGCATCTGTCCCTTTAAAAATTGAATAATTGAATAAGCTAAATCAATATAAATTTTATGTCTAGAACGAAATGAATTGGACCTTCGACTTCGTGTCCACATCTTTTCTGCTTTTAATGGTTAAAGTAGACGTGTTGTTCAACGAGAGACATTTTGTAAAATTACAGCCTATCCTACCTCCCAAATATTATCAGTTATATCCGGTTGATTCTGAATGTCCTCTAATTTTACTATACGACCAACAAATGGTCCCATCTGTGTACCAGTAGATATCCATGTCGTTGATGTAACCCCTAGCATACACCCTGGTATAGTTGACCGGCTTATCTCTACTTGCTTAGGTTTGGTAACATTTGTAATATCTAAAAATAATAATTTTTTCTGTAAACATTCTTATCGATGTCCAGTGTCCCTTTTAAAAAGATAAATGTTCACTTATTGTTCGTATTTGGGCAAGTTCGTAATATATTTTGTTGGCTAATATATTGTCATATCTGTACTCACTGGTAGGCTTACCCCTGCGGTGTTGACTTATTCCCCACCCCTGGATAACTAGTTTCCCATATTGGAAACTAAGGTGTTGAAAATTCTGCCTGCATTTATTAAAATAAATGATAGCATACAGTGATATTTTACTATTTTTTGTATAAAGGGAGATAACATCTTTACAGTGTATACATGTTTTGTAAAACATAATACACTGTATGCACAAAAAATCTGATAACAAAATATTTGTCATTATCGATACATGTTTATATCTTTCTTATTATATATTATATAACATGATTGTCTTACCATACATTAAGGGAGGTAACTCATACAAATAACAAAACAATTAATTTCATCTTTGAGCGATTAGACGTTCAAGATTGATAAAGTCATTGTTAACAAATATTGATTAAAATTTGGATTTATTTGATTGAATCAACGGACAATTGATTGATGAATTGTACATATTTACAAAAACATTTCTAATTTATCTGTACACCATATAAAGTTTATTTAAGAACAGTCAGGGTTTATAACACAGTGTAAACGGTACATAACAATGGAGCGTGTGTCAGGTTGACACTTCTATACATTGATCGCTGACTATCGGCCGATCTGTACAGTTAGGTTGTCCCTCTTCGTACACACATTCTATACACTGGGATTCTCGATGCCTCGCGCTCGATTGAGTCTCGTATAAATTAATAGGGTTTATATGTTTCATTCCGGCTTCTCATCCCTGAAGTTGGGGGTTACTCGTCTACATTTCTGACGCTCTATCACGGCACTGTAAGTGACAGTCTGCCTTATTTTTTTTTTATATAGCAACTGTGAAAGACTGAAAACTCTCCATTATTAGAATAACAAAATCAATATACCATCGCTTGCCTAGAAATAGTGAAAAATGCAAGAAAAAGGGAATTTATAACATGATTAACAATGGATATCAAATATCAAATGACCCAGAAAATGACATGCATAACAATTTCGTCAGATTATATATAACAAGTTGAGTCACCCACAGAAAAACAGCATACACTTAATTACAGCTGCTCAAAAACACGTTGATTGGAATGGAAGGACTATAAAGGCCATTCCATTTCCCGTCCTGCGCGCCTATGACACAATACAAAAATACAAAATGTACTTTGATTTTTCTAAATATCTATCAGACTGCAAGAACGCTTTCAGTTTCGATGAAATAAATTATAACAATAATTAACGATTGGAAACTATTAAACTGATATGAACCTCAGTGGGGGTCACTACTACTCAGTCAAATTCAAATTAAATTCAAATATATGTTGTAATATAATATAGCGTTAGTCTTGTGTGTAATTAAAACTCATTAATGCAAATATTTTAATTATTAAATTGGTTTATTCTATTAATGTTCTCTTTTTCTGACCTACGTTATTAGCCACGCCTCCTTTCATAGCACGTGACTAAATCAATTAATGCTTGGTTTTTATCATAAGGGCTGCAATCGGTAATGAAAAGCTGTAAATTGATATTACAAAATAATAAAACCAAGGAATCGCCGTCTTCACATTAAATATTTATCAGTTATTGTCTGATACAGTAAGATTAATAGCGAAAAAACCACGAAAACAAATTTGATTGCGATAAGAAAATTTTCTGTTTCAAAGAAAACTTGTAGTGATCGTTTGTACATTAATGGAGTACTGTCTGCTCTCATTTTAAGTTAAGAATGGGTTCCGGGCATTACGAAACTCGCCCTGAAATGTTTGTCTTATTTCCTTTAATAGCCAAATATGAACATTAGAAAACACTCATTTAACCCTGTGCAGTGTCTTCTGTTGAATAGTAACATGTTACTTGCCATGGTTCAGTTCCGGCATAGGAGGGGATAATACCTCTGGATTTTTTCAACCCGTTTTCCCCCTGTCAGTGAAACAGGTAAAGGGGACTTACATGAAAAAAGCGTCCAGTCGCTGGGATGGGACAATAAACTGAGGCTACACAGGCTGTGCACGTTAATGATCCCCTCGACATTTAGAAATGGCAAAATTTTTCTCATTGCACCCTGCATGAAGGTTTACGTCCTACTTTTCTGCGCGATGTGGGCTAATGAAGACGGGCAACGCCATGCTGGGTGCACTGAGGGAAATTTTGTCAGGACAGCGGCATTAGCCTGCTCTCTTCCGATTTTCAACTGTCTAAGGAGCTTTAGCGTGCACAGCATAAAGAACACGGGGCCTCAGTTTATTGACCCATCCGAACCTGCATCAATGAAAGAGAGAAACTGGTTTAAAAAATCCGAAGGTATTAACTCGGCCTATGTCGGGATTGAACCCTGGACCTTCAGGTTAGCGATCATGTCTAACTCACTGATCCACCGCGATATCCACTGTATGTTATGCGCACAATCTCTCTTTGCGGACATATTACATTGTCGACACCCATATCCGTTCATCCGCTGGTCCGGTACATATTTGAACGTGATCAAGACCAAGCTTTTATTCTTTGAATAGCCCATAGCAGGGGGCATAGTTTGAATTTTGGGTTGTGATAAAATTAAGTTTTTGATTACCGTTAACTTGTCTTATAACGCATGCTATACTTTCGTTGATTTAGAAAACCTAGAGGCCGTGAAGTAACTTGAATGACAAAAAGAAATACAATATCACCAAGGGAGTGAATTTGTTTTCAGGCAATCTTAGTAACGTAGATGCGGGTACTTCAATGAAAAACCATCTAACGTCTCGAAACAAATTTGGTTACTTTTTAACACAAGTATGATTTGTTAGCTGATGAAGGGTAAGGAAGGGAGAGAGTATGAGATCATTGAATGCGGGTAGGGTAATATCAACTCTTTTATTGGACGGCAAGTCTTTGGAGACGATACCCGATACCGTCATCAAACGCATTCATAACGGAACATATGTCGCTAGATGAGTAGGACTGGCAACCTCCACTTACGATCAAGTGATTACTTTGAATAGTTGCTATTGTTCGTCTATTATAATCGCTTAAAGTAGACTTTTTATACCTGCCGATAGTCATTATGATAGTCACCAATAATACTTGAATATTGTGAAAGTGAAATCAATGATATTATGTAATTAATAGCTATATAGAATATTATAATAATAATATAATTAAGTGAATTAACAGACTCCAATATATCCAATATAATTATATACCGCTAAGTATCTAACATGACTACCGCGGTCAGTAAAAGGCTATTTTAGCTGAAATTTGCTAACTCTTGGGATGGGGTGGGGCTGGATTCTTGCGACTGACAATTTAGGGACAAGTAGATAAACAACGACTGTTAGGCAATTGCAATAGTAGACCTGAGCGATCAATCGACCTGAACGCTTGAGATCTACATCATCCAGTTGATCGCAGTCGCAAGTAGTCAACGTTTCGCTCATGTCGATTGCGGCGGATCCAATGCGATGCCATGCTTGAATTGTTTGAACTCATAACCCCATATTATGTTAAAATTACAGAGGATAAATTTGGTTTAGATGAAAAGTTATCTTTGCAAAAGTAGAGGTTCACTTAAAAATCACTGAAACTAGCAATTTAGCGAAATTTAGCGAAATTTCGGTATTTATTCATTACTGTTGTAAATTGCTTCTTTCTAACAATATCAAGAAACATTTAGGGTAACATTTCAGTTAAATATTAAATACTTTGCCGAGATGTTTTTCCAAAGCATTTTTGGCGCAAAAATTTCAGTTTCATATCCAATCCTCTATATTTAAACTTTTGAAGTACAACTTTTAATTAAAATATCTGTTAATATTTAATATATTATTCATAAACACAAGACAATAAATTATGGAATATATATTCAAACTATATTTTATATATAAATTTATATATATTGAATTTAAATTTATTCAACTATTCAAAGTTATTTAATGAGAAACTGTTGACGACTAAATTTGAAGTTAAATATTCAATACTTTTTTTCTGAAATGAGTTATTTATTTTTCCAAAACATTCTCTGGACAAGTTCTGTTAATATATATAGCAATGTATCTTCCAGTTTGATACTTGAATATATTTAATCATTTTGTATTTTCAGTTTCAGGGATCATAAAGAGGTTAGCTACGAATTATATGTGTATCAGGGACACTA